TTTTAAGCAATGAACAGATTTTAAACTTTATTTCTTCCTTTGACTGATTTTGGTTTCATCTACGTATTTTGCCCCAGGATTTCCCCTCCCCGGATTTACACTCAACTTGTTATATTTGTTCATTGAAGAGAATAAATCAGCTCTTTTTATATGTAAAAGTCTAAGCTAACTGCCACAAACACAATACTACCACATGCATATAGCATGTACCCATTTTTATATGACTATCCATCTTTGTTTTCAACTGCCAGCATTTTAAACACTTGTTACTAAAGCTAAGTTTTCTTCATTTCTCTGCAGCACTATACTGATTGCACTTTTTTATTCTCCTTAAATTTTCTTGTTTTTATGGCACCGACCCTTTGTTCTGGCACCATGCTCATATACCTTTTGGTCTATTTATACATGTGACATCTTAGACTGACTTTTTATTCCAAGTTTCTTCCTGGTAAAGACAATGAGCCCAGTGAGCACACTTAATAAATGTTACATAATAATAACTATTAAATGTTCCTTTCAAATCTCAAGCAGCTTTTTATCTTTAGCTTCTACTTTGAGATAATTATATACTTCCCCAAAACTATTTATAGCTCCCATCAGGAAGAACAGCTGAAAAAAATGTACTCCTAGTCTTGCCAAAACGATGGTGAAAGTGATTTAAACTCGGAATTTCTGTTGCAAGTGTTCAAATGGCATTCAACATATGGATGTCTAATTCCAGCAATAGAAAACTTGTTCCAGCCAAAATGTCCCTGATAGAGGTGGCTACTGAGCACATTGTGTCCATGTCACCATCGTGATTCCTTTACCAACACACTGAGATCCACAGAACAGTGACAGAGACACGCCTTTGACTGGCTGTGAGCAGTCCATCTGTATCTGTGCTGCTCAGATGTATCCTAAGTCAGGTCTACCCTCCACCCTTTGAAGCCTGCACCCCAGCATATTTAGTCAAGAACACAAGACAGAGTCACAGATCAGCCTTACAAATAACAAGGAGAGAGGTCTTCCTCCATCACGTGATCTACGCATCATATGATCAAAGAATTATATATGTATGCACTGCTCTTAGGTTTGCTTGTTTCAGCAAATAAAAATTCAGCTGCCCTATCCTGCCTCTACGCTCCTCTAACCCAGCCCAGATGCAATGCCAGAGAAACTCCAGATTGATGATGGTGTCATCAGATGACTTCCCCCCTCAATCAAGGTAGCAGGTTGCACAGGGGGCAGGTCACTGGACTTGGAGACTGAATACCTGGGCATGGTCTCAGCTCCTGCTACTTAGAACCTGTTTGGTGTGCTCAAGTCCATTTTGATTTTTACCACCAAGATTCTACCATCGAAAGGTCCATTTCCAGACTTTGGGGAACCACAACTCCTGCTAGCCACCATGCTAGGGTACTGGGGCAACCACAAACAGCACAGTGCCCTGCCCTCGAAGAGCTTAGTATCTAGTGAGGACAAGACCTGTGAACTCAGTAGGGGGAAGGTGGGGCTGGAAATCAAGACCCAGGTCAAAAGACTTGACGTCTTTTGGAGGTTTTTTGGCTGTCATTGCATCTCAGTCTGATCACAATGCTGTATTCCCTTCAGTGTGCATTGTTTTACTACGTATTTGTTTGCATGAGAAGCCTTTTTGCACTTAAGAGATTAACTAGAACCCACTGCTTGGCAGAGTTAGCCTTCACACAGATGAACATAAAATATTATGATCTAAGTCAATCCAAATTAATCATAGCTTTTGAGATTATGAATACCTTTGGGGAAGCCATACAAGAAAACTCCTTTCTTCTTGTCAGAAAGAAATGTCTTCTGAGCCATTTGCAGTTTACCTTGCTCGTTAGATGAATCCTGGAACAGGTGGTGAGAACAGAAAGAAATTCCCTGGCTACTGACAGTGTCCCAAGGAGTCCCCAGAAAATTATTTTAGCAAAGTTTGGAGGGGCAAAGTGATAGCAATACTTAGCCAGAGTAGGTTTGGGTGTATGGACCCACATTAGGTACCCTCAGAGGTGTCAGTCCACATGGAGAAGGACCAATCGCTGGTCCACACGCAGGGAAGCAGCAATTCCTGGCCTTGACCCACCCATGTTCCTTCGTCTATGAGCTCAGCTGTGTTTTAGTGGTAGAGAGTAGGCGACAAACTAAGTGAAAAATTACTTTCTTAACAATGTAAACATTCTATAATTCTTTCGACTAATAAAGTGAGCTATTAGATTAAGATACTTTCCAGGATCATTTGGCCTCTGCTTACTTGATCACTGGTGTTCCCAAACACTGTAACCTCACTCTCCAGCCCTTCTCTGACAGTAAAATCTCACTGACTCAAAAGGAAGTGGAAAGAGCTCTAAAGCTGAGCAGCGCAGCTGTGATTAGTACCGATCTTATGAATAGTGGAGTTTGGTTATTTGTTGACTTAATAGCTGGTGTTTTTATGTTGATAACGGTTGTGATGAAGTTGATAACCCCGAGAACTGATGTGTCAAGCGGGTTTGAACCCCAGATCTACCTCCTAACTGCTCTGAGTATTCGGGCAAGATTTTTATCTCCTCTAAGAGTTTCTTCATCTGTTTATTAGGGTGTAATGCAGCTGAAAATCTCTAACAGAGGCACTGGAACAGAACGGATGGTCAATAAGATAAATCACACAATTACAAAATAAAAAACTTTCACTTTCAAAAACATATAATAACTCTAAGTAAGCTTTTCAATAGTTTTCTTTTTAGGTATAAATGATTTGATTGATCAAGGAATTTTAATTACTATACCAACCATGAGTTCATGCATATCTTGAGAAGCTTTCATTTTATGACAGCCTGAAAGAGATCCGGTGACCCTGCAGGAGTGTCAGAGCTGGTACAGGGATCTCAGGGCTCTTGACTGTGTCACCTCCACCTCCTCTCTCAGTCTTGGCTGCTATAGATAAACCGCAGTACTTCAGACAAATTGGTACAAAACTGAATTCTAAATGAACACTAGGGCAAAAGCTTTTCCTAAAAGTGTTCTGGGACCTATGCAATTTAAGGGAAGTATCTGAGTGTCTAAGTGTCCCCCAGATTTCTGCCACAGTCAGCAAGTTCCGTGGAGGTTCTCTGACATTAAGAGAGGTGTGCCAAAGGCTGCCTGGAGCCCAGTCAGCTTGATAATCTCTTTCCTGATTTAGCCAAATAGAGTTCATTACTTAATGCCAAGAACAAACAAACCAGTCTAGGTTTTGTGTTAATATCCACAACTTTGTGTATTGGTGTTGCTGTTATGATTACTTATTATCTGAAGTATGAACAGGAAGTCATCCCTTCTGATACATGGTAAGCTTTTCTCACTACGGATTCAGTTCTGCTATCAGAGAATAATAGGAGCAAAGTGGCCTGCAAATATGAACTTTGGCAGTAGGCCTATTTTGAATTCAAGCTTTGCCTGAAAAAGTTACTTCATCTCTTGGAAGCATAGTTTCCTCAGTTGGAAAAGGAGAAAATACTGTGAATTAAAATAGATGAAGTGTATTTTGATACAATAAGCAGCCAAAAAATAGCATCCGTCATTACTACTTATATTTATGTTTATGCTAAGCATTAACATTGTTATAACTGTAAATGCTTTTCAAATCCCTTAGAAGAAAGGCATCATCCTTGACTAGAATCATAATTAAAACTTACATAGAAAAAATGTTGGTTTACATAATCATCTGATCAATTGATTATTACTCCCTTTTGAAAAGTTTCAAAACAGATACAGTGAAAAACAGATATTGTGCCCTATGATTATGTGAATTTAAATATAATGCAGTCCTAATGTGTATCCCATTCTCTGCAACAAAGTTATCTTGGTCACATTATTAACTTCAACACTGAGATTTATGTGGCTGAATTTTTCCAACTACCACTACCCTACCATAGAAGGACTTTATTATACTTAAAATTTGAGTATCACCATTATGGTGGTCTTTTGATGTATCAGTTGGACTAGCCTACAGTCCCCATCATTCCATCCAACTTAAGCTAAATGTTGCTGTGAGGGTTTCTTGTAGATGTGATTAACGTCCATGACAGTCCACATTGACTAAGAATATCCTACATCATCTGCATAGGCCTGATTTAATCAGTTGTAAGGCTTTCAAATCAGAACTGAGGCTTCTCTGAAGAAGAAATTCCACCTGTCGACAGCAGCTTCAGCTTGTACTACAAGTTTCCAGCAGGCCCTACGTGAGAGCCTACCTTTTAGATTTCAGATTTGCCCAACCAACCTCACAATAATGTAAGCCAGTTACTGCAATATAATTAAATATTATTAAATATCTTCTACTAGTTCTGCTTCCCTAGTTAAATGCCGACTGGTATAGCCATGAAATTTTTATTTTTTCTTTCTATATTAAATCTAATTGACTGTGCCTTGACATTTAAGGTAGAAATTTCTCATAAAGATTCCCTAGATTATGAATGACTTGAGTGGGGCTCATTATTTTTACAGTAGATGTGAAAATGCTTTTAATTCACCATGTTCCTCTATTTTGTTACATCTTTCTATCAAAAGAAACTATCAAATATAGATTCAAAGGCAACCTTCTTTTGTGACTTAAGAAGAAGACATACATTTAGCTATTACATATGAGTGAAAAAGAAGAAAAATGAAATGCTCATGTCTAACTGGCAAAAAATTGAAACTCATATATGCATAAATGATATTTTCTATGAATTTAAAAGTGGATTTTAGAAAAGTCGTGGGTTTTAGAAATGGAAGTGCAGTATGAACTCATTTTGTCAAAATAGGAACAGACATTGTCACTGTTTTGCCAAATGTCAATCCCGTTTTAAACGACCCAGCAGTAAAACTTACAAACTTCTCCAAGACAGAATTCCTTAAAACTGTTCCTTAATACTAATGGTCTTTTGCCAAGTTTCATCTCATCCTTAACTACTCTGAAAACTTGCAAACAAGAATATAGTTATAAACGTACTGGCTTTGAAAGCTAATTTGAAAATAAAAACCCAAAGGAAGCAAGATTTGAAACTAAACTCAGATTTTAATTTAACAGAAAGTATTACTTGTGACAAAATTTTTCTAAGATGAAATAGTCCTTTAAAAAGAAAACTCCACTTTAAGAAATGTTCAACGTTTATTCATTTTCTTATTGGGAGCTCTTTTCCTGGTTGTAGTAAGAATATGCACAAATAATCATACTTTTAGATTTTGAATATTACAACCCAAAATTCAAAGTGGCTTTTTTTCATAGGTCAGGTACTATTGTAAAATAAATAAATTTTAATTACACAGGACTAGTACCAATACATGTCTAAGAAAGATATTTCATTTACCTTTAATAACAAACATGTGCTTTGATTTTTTATTATAAAAACTGAGTTTTCAATGAAGGCAGTTTAGCAGGACTATGTGGAAATAAACTTGAATTCAGTAGTCCTTTAAACTTAAAAATTATGGTAGAATAAAATGTCAAACATGTAAGAAAATTTTCTGTGATATATACATAAATATTTTGATGTAAACAAAAGCAAAGATCAGGAGAAGTAAATATCTTTGTCAGCCACTGAAATACGTTGATTAAAGAGGTTATTTTATTGTCTCCATGCTTCCATTGAACACAACTGGTGTAAGCAGAGCAAGATGAATTAAATGAATCTTTACATTTCTCTCATACTCTTCAGAGGTTACATACAATAAAAATATTTCTCTGCAAGAAAAGAAAGCACTAGAAGAATCAGACTCCTAAAAGTCATGATTTTCAAATATCAAGTCCCTCTCTTTGCTCTACTGTGAAACGATATGGTTTCTCAGAATTTTGCCAGTTAATAGAAGGCAGAGCCCACACTGGCAAGATCCAGCACCAACACACGTGCGGCAACTTAGGCACGAAGATATGTCGAGTTTCTTGACACAGATCACCCATGCACTAGGAGGTAGTGCATGCATGGCTTCCAATGCAAGACAAACATTTTTGGATAAAACAGACAATATTGAAATGGGTATATTTGTGACGGGAGTGCTTCCTGAAGTTGCACCAGGAAGCACACACATCAGAGTCAGGCAGACTGTTCAACAAAATGAAAGTGTGCATCCCTGGGCCCAAACCCAGACCCTCTGGGGAACCCACAATTGGTACTGTCAACAAGCTCCTTGGGAGTATTCAGACACACACTCCTATTAAGGTTTGACCATCATTTCCCCACACTATTAGGGATTTCTTTTTGACAACAAACATTTCACTCTCTCTTCATGCTTCTTACTTATTAGTCAGAAGGAAAAGAAAAACAAAAACATTTCTGATGCTGTCAGTCAGTGGCGTTAATTAGTAGTGGTACTTTTTTTCCCCTCAAGAAAATATAGAATAGGTGACATAGGATTCGGCACCTACATTTTTCAAAGGTATACCATAGTGCTCTTTTTTTAAAGCTTGCAAAATGTATACACAATAAAAACATTCAAAATGATTTGTAAACTGTCATTGAATCAAGATTATCCAGTGTAAAGAGAACTGCTGTGTGGTGGGGTTGCTAAATTCTCACAAAGGTCGCTTTTCACAAACACCGAGCATCTCAGCAGGCATTTCAGAGCTTTCACCAAATGATGCACTGCCTTCCAAGCGGCACAAAATTACCTAAGCATTGCTCATAGAAGCAAACAAAGCTGGGTGTCAACCCCTATCACATCACAAAGGAAGTTTCAAGACCTACCAAAACTATGTATCATGAATACACATCATGCTGACTTTCCTGAGAGAAAAGTCTCATTTCAACTGTACTTATTCCTCTCTGCTTGAAATCCAGTTTGTATTGCGAATGGAAAGCATGACACCCTTCAACATGCTACTAGGATCCACTACGGTGTCTCTGTGTTCTGTAAGATCCCTACAAAATCTTTTTTTTTCATGTGCATAATATAAATCAGAAATCAAAGAGGTAGGTGACTGTCTTCGGAAGATGATCCCCAAACAGTCTGTTGACTAAATATGCTTGAGTCCCAGAAGAGTCCTTAAACTGGAAAACAAATTCCAATAGCATAACGATTGCCTTAAGAGAAGGGTTTTCTACATCTCTTGCAACGTCATCAAACTTTCAGAGTCCTAACTCCTGACACCGTGCCACAGGCTCCTCAGACATTCCATTCTCAGACACAGCTAATGAAGTAAAATATAAGGTAATACTGGAGACCAGACCGTGATGCTGGGGTCTTCAAAAATCTCCACCCTCACACGGAGGAAAGCACATTGGAGTTCGGCAAGACCTTCAAGATTCATGGATTTCAACTCTCTCTGGTCATAAAACTGAAGAAATCATAAAGGCTCATTTGTCCCACTGGCTCACAAAGCACTAAAATTCTGAAAAGATACTCCAAGTCCAGAAAGCGTTCCTAGTTAACTCCCCTACATGTAAAGCCCATGCTGAGGCCAAGGGGCTGCACTCTCAGCCCTCACACAGCCTCCATCTGCAGACCACATCTGTTGGCTCTGTGCACTGTCAGTGATTTCTGAGAAGCGGACCAAATGCTCTGGACGCACCAGGCAGGGACAGATGGTCAGCAAGAGAAAAAAATAATTTGAAAACCCAGACCTGTCCTGTCAAAGTTGCTTTAGGCTTGGAATCATGCTTATTTTTGCTTCTTTGTACGAGACACAATTCCAACACACTCACAGACTCCAGCTCCGCTCTGGGAAAGCACCAGGCAATCCTGTTGTTCTGCCCTGAACATTTAGAAACACGTGGATGACTGGACACCCTTGAACCTGCGTGGCCAAGACCTACATGCAGGATTTAAGTTCTCTACAGTTGTCAGTCACTTGTTTTACCAAACCAAAAAAAAATCACCTTCTCTCCTTACAGCCCTACTTAGCTAAAATGTTTAAATTCCAATATAAAAGGGTAGTTGCGAGTGCTTTTATTTCTTTCCATTTTCCAGACTTTCTGTAACGGTTTCACATGTCTTTTGGTAATTAAAAATAAAGTGAACTTATTTTTAAAAGGAAGGTTTCAGTCTAAAAAAAAAAATTAGAGGACACACAGCAGTGCCTCTTGACTATGAAACATGTATGACTGATGTTACGTGTGGCGCAGTGGAATAGAGCACAGTTTCAGGACTCTGACAGATTTTTGGGGGTCCCAGTTCTACCACTAACCTTGGACAGGATTTTCGTCTCTCTGAGATTTGCTTTCCTCGTCTATAAAAATGGAAGAAATAATACCTACCTCATAGGATGCTATGAGGATACAATGAAGCACAGTGCCTGGCACACAGTAGGTGTTCAAGAAATGGTAGACCCTTCACTGTCCTGGACTCGGTGAGAATCCTTGAGTAAAAGGAGACACCACAGCCAGCAGCAGCCACCCCTTCACTGCATCCCATTTAAATTTGCAAGGGTTCTGTCTCCTCAACTTTGCCCTATCGCCCTAAAGAATTGCTTTTGTGCTTAGAAAAATTTCTGTATTTTTATGTTCTCTTCTTTAGAACCATACATGCAGACAAAACATTTTTCAAAAACTATCTTCCTGGAAATGATAATGCAATATTTCCTAAAGCACAATGTGTCATGTATAAAAACAATTTACGACTGAATTAGTTTGTACATTGTTTCTTAAAGTGCACCAAAGTAAATAGCAATGACCTTTAAAATGTCTCTAACCCCCTTGGGTTATATATTTAAATAAAAGTAAATATTTATCTACTGAGATGTAAAAGTGGTTTTTGGCTCCGATATGATGGCGTTAAGCAGCAGTGTCTTCCAGAAAAAAAAAACTAACTGATAAACTCAACTTAGCAGCATACAAAACACCTGGAGTTCAATGTAACTGCAGGCTCAGTAAAGCACAATCCTGATTCCTCCTTCAAAAATAAAACCAATCAAAGAAAAAAAAAGCCATCTTCCCACCCTAAATTGAGGATGTGTTGCTTGAACCCTGGAGGTAACATCTGTGATTACGTCCCTATGTGTATTCTTGGTAAGAGAATTATAACCACCATTCTTTCTTTACACTGCATACACACCCTTACACACAGACCCTATAAAGAAAACAAGTGTAAGTGGAGAGCCATGTGAAAGAAAATTCAAAGTCAGGTAGAGAATGACTGTGGCCCAAAACGTCAGGCCATGCCGGTATTCACACCACCGTCCGATGTTCCCCACACACGTAGACGGCGCTGGGGCGTATCCGTCGCCTTGTGTTACCAGGGAGCCGTGGCAAAAACTTAAAGGACTTAGGCATCATGTCCAGGCAGGCGTCATGGAATTTCTTGATCCTCCAGTAGTAAATCAGCGGGTTCAATGCAGACTTGAGGTAGCAGAGCCAGAGCAGCCAGGTGCTAATCTCAAAAAAGTTGTGCTTGTAGTAAAAGTGCTTGCTGAACGTTGCCACAAGGCTGTAAGTGGTGAATGGGGCCCAGCAGACAATGAAGACCGCAAAGAGAATCAGGATGGTGGTGAAGGCACGCGTTTTAAAGCCCATGTCAATGCTCATCTGGAAGGGTCTCTGTAGGCTCATGAGACCCAGTTTGCTGGCCTGGCTGAGACATATACCCTCAGGGTAGCTATGGATCCTCAAGGCATTGTGCCGAAGGGTGTTGAGGATGCCCATAAATGAATACAGTATCACCAGGAAGGGTATGAAGAAAGAAATGAGAGAAATCAAAATCACATAAGCTTGGTAACCTGGATTGGTTGTGTACCCAAACACGCACTGGGGGGCTCTGGAAGGAATCTGCAGATCGGGGTTTCCTACAGCCAAAGGAAAAGCTATGCAAAAAGAAGTTGCCCAGGAAACTGCGATCAGAGCCTTAGCCCTGTAGGGGTTCAGCTTATCCTGCCTCTGGACTATAATAAGGAATCTATCAATGCTAATGATGAGCAGGATGGCTACTCCCTCTATCACAAACAACCAGAAAAACATAGCAGATACCCTACAGAAGAACTTCCCAAAAATCCACCTGGTCGTAAGAATAGTCACCAAGGCAAAGGGCATGTTCAGCACTGCAAGCAACATGTCTGCAAATGCCAGACTGGCAAGGAGGATGTTAATGGCAGAACGCATGGCAGCTTTTTGGTAAACCATGAGGCAAACAACCAAGTTCCCAAGAAAAGACACAAACAGTATAAATATCATTATAGCAGAAAGGATGATCTGGAGAGGCAAGTTTAAGCTCTTAAAAGCTGCTGGTGTTGGGGGTACAGCTGTGCTATTCACCCCCAAGGAACTCATCCCAGTGGGAGTCGTGGTTTCAAGACCGTATCTAAGCAGTGGACCGATGCCAGGGTGTTGGAATGGTGGAGGGAGCGTGATATTCACGTATGTGTTTTCATAGACTACGAATGTTGTGTTGGTTGTCCCAGTATGGGACACAGTCAACACTTCTGAGAAGACCATGGTTTCAGTAGGACGGAAGGTGCCAGCAGAGAAGTGGGTGTTCTTCAAGCATTTCAACACATAGCAGCAGTATCATGTTGCACTGATGAGCTTGGAAACGCATTCTGGAAAACGGACGAAGAGTTCCCTCTTCCATGGGAGTCCTTTTGCCTAAGAACAAGGCCAAAACACAAAAAGTCAATGAGCAATGGGCTTTGTGAATAACATTTGTCTTCTTACCTTTCATCATGAAGGATGTTTTGCTCTTTTAAACTCTTTAAGAATACTTAGGTCTCTAGCTTAGTCAGCACCTCCTTCCATTATATTTAGTCAACCATGATGGAAATATCATGACATTCACATACAAAATGAAAGTAAAAAGAATCAAAATGTACTACTGCCTCAAAGGTAAGAGCTATAACCTTATGGTTAATTTTTCTTTTAAACTTCCAGTAGCAGCATATAAAACATTAATACATATTTGATTATCTAGTTCTCCTGAGAATACTAATGTGTTTCTTATTAGTTCTTTGGTACAGGTTCATATTCCATTTTTACATTAGCGCAGAACTACTGGGCCATGAACTCAAGTTTCCTATTTAATCAAGATAATCACATACTTTTGTTCTACCACCCTTAGAAGTAGGTACTAGTTTATTTTCTGAAACAGTTTCCCAGCTTTCTATTTTTTTATGTCTCCTCCCAGATAACCCACCACAAAGCATACTGAAGAAGTTATTCAAAAGAAGAAAAATGATATGTAAAATGTCTCGGCCATATTTTCAAGACTGTTTTCTAAAGCCTTCTGCTCGTCATTCTCTCTTCGTTCCCATGTCCACCCATTTCCGTAGCTCTTAAAAGCTGCTGGTGTTGGGGGTACAGCTGTGCTATTCACCCCCAAGGAACTCATCCCAGTGGGAGTCGTGGTTTCAAGACCGTATCTAAGCAGTGGACCGATGCCAGGGTGTTGGAATGGTGGAGGGAGCGTGATATTCACGTATGTGTTTTCATAGACTACGAATGTTGTGTTGGTTGTCCCAGTATGGGACACAGTCAACACTTCTGAGAAGACCATGGTTTCAGTAGGACGGAAGGTGCCAGCAGAGAAGTGGGTGTTCTTCAAGCATTTCAACACATAGCAGCAGTATCATGTTGCACTGATGAGCTTGGAAACGCATTCTGGAAAACGGACGAAGAGTTCCCTCTTCCATGGGAGTCCTTTTGCCTAAGAACAAGGCCAAAACACAAAAAGTCAATGAGCAATGGGCTTTGTGAATAACATTTGTCTTCTTACCTTTCATCATGAAGGATGTTTTGCTCTTTTAAACTCTTTAAGAATACTTAGGTCTCTAGCTTAGTCAGCACCTCCTTCCATTATATTTAGTCAACCATGATGGAAATATCATGACATTCACATACAAAATGAAAGTAAAAAGAATCAAAATGTACTACTGCCTCAAAGGTAAGAGCTATAACCTTATGGTTAATTTTTCTTTTAAACTTCCAGTAGCAGCATATAAAACATTAATACATATTTGATTATCTAGTTCTCCTGAGAATACTAATGTGTTTCTTATTAGTTCTTTGGTACAGGTTCATATTCCATTTTTACATTAGCGCAGAACTACTGGGCCATGAACTCAAGTTTCCTATTTAATCAAGATAATCACATACTTTTGTTCTACCACCCTTAGAAGTAGGTACTAGTTTATTTTCTGAAACAGTTTCCCAGCTTTCTATTTTTTTATGTCTCCTCCCAGATAACCCACCACAAAGCATACTGAAGAAGTTATTCAAAAGAAGAAAAATGATATGTAAAATGTCTCGGCCATATTTTCAAGACTGTTTTCTAAAGCCTTCTGCTCGTCATTCTCTCTTCGTTCCCATGTCCACCCATTTCCGTCCTTTATGATCAAATACATAGACTTCTGCCTTCTCAGTTTCTTCTCCCTAAAACTGACTTTATCATATATTAGCAACTTGAAAGAAGATATCAACCAAATAATAAAGATGGAGATTCTAAAGGAGATCACTGGAAAAATATTCAGGTGTAGATAATCTATTCCAGAAAATTTACAGATATTTGGTTTTCTTGCCCCAAAAAGTTTTTTATCACCTTTCTCTTATCCTTTTCCCCAACTTCTTACCAATTAGTGCAACTCTGTAGAGTTTTCTGTAAGGGACTTACTCTACTATCTTACTAACCCACTTTTGTGTGGTGCATTCTTCCTTCCATCTTTCATGAGAACTCTTTGGATTTCTGGGTAGATTCCTTTAATAAATCTCAAAGACTGGGAAGAATATAAATGTATGGAAGGTTAAATCCAGCACTGTAGCCAAATCACAACTCTCTACCATTCGTGTATCTATAATCCCTCTTTGTTATCCAGGACTGCCTCTGTAAATAAGGAGAATATTAATCTGTTTGTTCAAAATGTTGATTTTACTATTCACTCTCACTTTCATAGCTTAATTTCTTTGCCCCTACTAGATTTTATCCATCTTCACATATTCTCTTTGAAATGCAAAACATACCTGGGTAAGATGCCACATTAAGCCAATGACTCTCAAGCTTTATTAACCACAAAGGGTCAATGGGTAGGGGGAAGTGGTAGTTGGAGAGTTTTACACCAAAATCACCGTAAGACTCTTTAGAACTACCACTAAATATACATACAAGTAGGAATGAAGACTTTGCTTGCTACATAAATCAGCTTCAATACAAGTCTAACTCTAGAGGAAAATTATAAATAGGTGAATGCATATCTTATGCCTAATGCAACAGCTATAATTGTGCTTGACCCAGTAAATAAACATATATCTATCCTGAAGTAGTTCACACTTTATTTGTTATTAATTTATTGAAGTATAATTAACATATAACATTAATTTAGTCTCAGTTGTACAACATAATAATGATTCAATAATTGAATACACTGTAAAAAGAATCACCACAATAAGTCTTGTTAAAAACACCACCATGCAGAACTACAATAAAAATTTTCTTGTGAGAATTTTTAAGATCTACTCTTATACTAACTTTCAAACATGCAAACAGTATTATTATTATTAACAATAGTTGCCATGTTGCATGAGTCCCATGAATTATTAATTTTATAACTGGAAGTATGTACCTTTTGACCCCCTTCACCAATTTCACCCACTTGCACCCCCCACCTCTGACAACCACTCATCTGTTCATCAATCTGTATCTATGAACTTGGTTGTTTTTTGGGATGGTGGAAGTTTATTTGTTTTCTTTCTTAAGATTCCACATATGAGAGAGACCACATGGTATTTGTCTTTGTCTGACTTGTTTCACTTCGCAAAATGTCCTCAAGGTCCATCCATGTTGTTGCAAATGTCAAGATTTCATTCTTTTTTATGGATCAATAATATTCCACTGTATATATACCACAATTTCTTTATCCATTCTTCCATTGAGGAGTATTTTGGTAGTAGTTACCACTGCAAATAATGCTGCAATGAACATAGGGGTGCAGATATCTTTTCAAGTTAGTGTTTTCATTTTCTTCAGAAAAATACCTAAAAGTCAATTGTTGGATAATATGGTACCTCTATTTTTTATTTTTATGGAGGAACCACCATACTGTTTTCCACAGTGGCTGCACCAATTTACTTTCCGAATAACAGTGCACACGGGTACCCTTTCCTCCACATCCTCACCAACATTTCTTATTTCTTGTCTTTTTGATAATAGCCACTCTAACAGGTGTGAGGTGGTATCTCTTTGCGGGTTTGGTTTACATTCCCTTAGTGACTAGTGATATTAAGCATCTCTTCATGTACCTTTTGGCCATATACACATCTTCTTTAGAAGAAGGTCTACTGAGATCTGCCCATTTTTAAATAGCACTGTTTGTCTTTTTTCTATTGAACTGTATGAGTTCTTTACAAATTTTGGATATTAACCTGTATCAAATATATGATTACAAATATTTTCTCCCATTCAGTAAGTTGCCTTCTCATTGTACTGATGGCTATACTTTAAAACATTTAGTTTCCTTGATCATGTTGAGTAACAAAAACAAAAAATAGAATGGCACCAAAGCAAAATCAGCATTTAAAAGATGCTTTTTAGGTTGACATAAATACATACAAAGTCATAATATTAAGTCTCCTGTTACTATAAAAGCTTCTTACTCAACTCATTCAATTATTTATTCATCGAATATCTATTCAAAAACCCAGTAAATGCCAGGCACCAGAGAAACAGTAAAGAACAAATGGTGCCTGGATTTCTGGTTACACAAGGCAGACTGACCATAGACCCTGCATCTCAAAATCACACTGAAATGAGAGTAAAGGGGCTTTTTAAACAAAATGTACAACCCAAAAAACAAGAGGTATGAAAGAGACACACCAATAGGTAAGGTTTCTTTTTTTAATGATTTAAGGCAAAAAGCAGATGGTGGTGTAGAAACTGACTGAACAGAACAGATTCTTTATCCTCAGTGCCTCCAGGAAGAAGCTGACACCCCGCAGATCCTCAGAGAAGCTCTGGGTTCGGGGGCACCTGTTACCCCAGAAAGGGTGGGTGGGGCTAAAAACTGGAAAGCGCAATGAAAAACCTGTATACAGAGCCACTGGAACCCCACTCCACACCCAGATGTCTGTCCTTCCTTTGAGCAACCACATGAAAGCATATACTTCCAGTCCAGCAGCCCAACTCTATGGCATAATGGAACCAGTAAGCACCAAACTAGAGAAAAATCAGTATAGGGCTGAAAACACTGGGACTGAGTGAATGTCTTCCCATTCCACATGAGAACCTAGCACCCAAGTGCCAGCAGCCAGGCATATGCTACCCATGCAGGACCAAAGGGCTTCCCTCTTCCAGTAACTTATAAGCTCTAGATGAAAAAATTCTAGATATTAACATTTGGAAGTACCCCAAGAAAATACCAGCTTGGTGCAGAGTCACCCTATATACTGAAGCCCACCCACCGTCAAGCCCACCCCATGTACTCGGAACTTTTAATCAGCTTTTTGGTACGTACTTATAGTCAATTTCCCTCACACATGAGTCTACAAAGGGATTAAACAAAAAGTAATTTTGTAGTTAAACATAAGCACAAGAAGCAGACATTATAATATCAGGGAGTATAGCATGCATGGACTTATTACTGCCTTTGCCCCGGGTATC